ATTAAGTATGTCACTGCTGGCGGTTAAGAGGAGGTGGCGGCGGTTCTGTTAATAGGACCTTCCTGAAACGATCTCCGATCATGAAATGGATAATTCATTTATAGCTCAGCAGCAGAATCAGTATTTTTCTCACACCGCAAACGGTTCACGCGCTTGCTGGCACGTGAGGTGCACGGCACTTATGATTGCTGAGAATGACTCGAGCGCGTTGGTGGAATACCGAAAGTTACTGAACTGGATGGGTTGGTGACATTTTATGAACGCGAAATATGTGTTGCATACACCGATTCCTAATAAAAGTACACTATTATAGAACTACAAAGATGCAATTCCATGCTGTAAACTGGCTCCGAAGCTTCCCGCCATGTTTCGATGTTCTGAAGCGTCATGGAGTGAGCGTGCTCAGATGGTTAAAGGCGTGTTCACTCCAAATTACAGCTGACCAATAGACGTGTAAGCTGCTAAGCCCCGCCCACCCGTTAAAACACCCGTTTTCAAAAAAGTCAGAAGCAAAAAAGCATTCCAAAAGCAAAAAAAAATTGTAGAAGCAAAAAAAAAAATTACAAAAACAAATTAGAGAAGAAGAAAAAAAATGAATTTATTCAACTTTTTTGATATTTGGAAAACATATTTTCATTCTGATACTTAATGATTTGCTTGCGGTTTTCAAAATTTTGATTAATACTTTTGGCACAAAATTAACTCCATATGCTGTATAATGTATAACGTAAATCGCAGCCGTTGCGATTTTGATTTTAAATCAATTAATCGTTCAGCCCTAATGGCTAAACATTTTGACCATCTTGTTTGTGAACAGTGACACAAGGACTTGCTATTCTGATGGCACTGACAAGTTCATTGACATAAATATTTACTTTTGAGTGATACACTAAGGATTTTGAGAAAGTTACAGGTTTTGCGGGTGATCTATCATGTGGTGCCATTTGTACGAATTGCTTAGAGAAATGCACTTAATGATTTGCAGATGTAAAGGATGATTCAAGAAATATACAAAGCGACTGAGAGAAACTTTCTTTATCACAACTAACCTTTTGAATGCTTATCTGGAACAATTTGCAATTTTTGAAATTATACGCAGCTGGGTACTCTACTACGGCAGTTTGGATGAAGCCCACCATAGCTTATTGGGATTTTAATGGGCAGTCTTCATGGTTTAGTCTTCTGTATACCTGCTAGACTGTGGTCTACTCAGGAAATAGGGGCTGACTTGTTTTTGTGGCCCCAACTGGCATCCAACTGCTTGTGTACCACCAAGCTTCAGTATCCTGCCTCTATGAAGCCGATGCTTCGCAGTGCCTCACAGTCCTGTTAATGTATTCAAGTACGCAAATGAAGCTCAGAGCCATTAGCTCATTTCCAGCACTCATGCTTTTGCACATCATGTGACCTGAGATGAGTGATGAGGAGTAATCACACTGCTGATTCTCACCTCTCTGCTCTGGAGATAGAACACTGAGACAGAGCTTTTATCCCCAGAGTTGCCGGTTATTATGAATGTTTGTTTCTTGCATGAAATTTGAAAAATTCATCCATTTTTAAACATTATTATGAAAGGTTATTTTTAAAATGTGGGGGAAGTGTAACTTAATTTTTAAGAAAAAAAAACATGCCATTGGGAAACCAGGAGATCTAAACGAAAAAGCAGGACATTCTGGGCGAATTCCATTTATATGGTTGCCAGGAATCAACTAGATGGAATTTAATGATAACAGCAACAACAAGAATAATAATAGTATATATTTTTTAAGTCATCCATAGCTGGAGGTGGCACCAGGACGATCCTGACATGAGAAGTCGGTCTCCTGGGGTGACCATGCAGATTTTATAAACCTCTCTGGCTCTAAATGGCACCAGTCAGCAAATTCCACCAGGCTGAATGCTGATCTCATCTCATCCTACAAACATCATGCTTTGTCTAGTGCAAATTCAGGCTCCTGTTCAGATTTACAGTACTTGCACTTGGTATGCTTTTGATGTTCTGGTATATGAAAGAGTGAAACCACTGTCCATCAAAAGTAGAAATAAAATGATTTTAGTTATAGAATGGTTTTGTCGCTTGTTCATAGCATAGGGAACCAGGCTGGTTGACAGCACCGAGCACATTGTGAGATGCGACCTTTGGCTGACGTTCACACTGATAGGGTCCAATTCAGTCTGACTACACTGCTGGAGCCCACGCCACACGAGGGAAGTGAAAATAGTGGGGGGGGGGGGTCACTTGTGAATGCCTGCTTAAGTTGTCCTCTCGGCACATTGAATAATAGTCTTTGATAGAGTAGCCAATCAGCAGGCTTCTTTGCCCTGCCCCCAAACGCACCCCCCGTGATGCGCTCAGTCCACAGGATATGATGATATACAATCACAGTACCTGGGGGGGTGGGGGGTACTTTCTGATTCTGCTTCAGTTTTGGGGAAGTCTGATAAAACAAAGGCGTAAAGATTGCAGGTGAAAATGTTTTAAGAAAAGGTTCTACATGAAAAGCATAGTTTAGCTTAGCTTAGCTTAGCTTAGCTTAGCTTAGCTTAGCTGCTCAGCCGTATGTGGCTCTTCTTAACTCAAGTCTAATTAATCGTTTGTCCAGATTTAGACAGCAGATCTTAAATACCAAATATTGCTGCAAAGATATGAATTTTTTGCTGGGCGATGTTAGATTACGTATAGTCTCCAGCATCCCCCCTGCCCCCAATGTGACACTGAGCAGAACAATTGATAAGAACGGGATGGATGGATGGATGGATGTAGGCCTATGTATGGATGGTTTAATTATGTAATTATGATAATGAACCATGTGACCTGGCAACTCAGAATATTTTTTTCCTGTCACTGACTGGGACAGTATGCTCAGTATGTCATGGAAATGGAAATGCAGAATGAAGGAGACCAGTGAACAAAGGAAACACAATCAAATGCAGAACTGATACAGTCAAATGCTGGTAAAAGAAAACGGAGAGAGATGAATGGAGGTTACCCACCTTACTGAAACACATGTCAAAAAAATATTTTTCAGTTACCCTGAAACAATAATCTTATGAATAAAATGATTTATTTCTTGACTTGGGCTGGAATACAAGCCTGTAGCAGCTGAGGAATTGTTCTGTTGTTTCAAAAATGAAAAGCTTCACCTTGTCAACATTAAGAAATATTTATTTTACTTATATTGAAGATGTTATAATATTATATAGAATTGTACCTGTGGTTGAATTTATTTGGAACAATGACCTCACTGGTGTTGTCATCCATGGTGACCAATCAGAGTGCAGTCTGCATTTGTGCGCATTGTCCCTGTTTGTGTGGCTGCTGTCCTAGTGATTCAGAAATACTTCAAAGTGTCCTATTCTTCCGCATAAGTCTGTATGGCAAAGAGCATCACTGATAACCTTGATGTTATATGACTTTAAGCTCCTATACCACTTACAGTATCAGTCAAATGGTGGACACATGTACTGAAAATCATTCGTTTTTCAGCAAGATAATGACCCTAAGCAGACGTCAAAGTTACGCAGAGAGTATTATCTCGTGAACAAGGAAAGATGGAGTGCTGTGACAGATGATCTGGCCCCCACAGTCCCCTGACCTAAACCCTAGAGAGCTGGTTTAGGATGAGCTGGATCTAAAAATAAGAGTAAGGTAGCCAACATCTGCCCAGAACTTGTGGGAACTCCTTCAAGACTGTTGGAGAAGCATTTTGAAGAGTGTAAAATCTGAGAAAACTTTGAGGTGTTTAACAGTTCTCTTGGTTGTAGCCGTATTTGATATGCATTACTTCATTGCCTCGAGGCCTTTTACTATAGGGTAAATAACACGGCTAAAATAGAGACAATTGCATTGAAGGCAGGTGTGTCCAGTCTTTTGACTGATTCGGTCCAGTCATTGGGAGTACCCTCTATACCCTCTAATCAGTGGAGAAGTACCGACTTCTGTCTGTGTGACGGATGATACTTAGTGCTAATTTTGTCATTGAAAGGGCTGCCAACCAGTTATTGTTACTCTTTACACTTGGAGCCTTTGTGATCACACACGCGTGCAGAGTATGTTTCCTTCCGGAACTTGTCAGCCTTGGCACGGCCCAGCTGACAGACTCATGTTTCCATGCCGTGCTCTGTTGGGTCACTTTCACACACGTGGTTCACTGGGTTTGTCCTGCCAGTGCGCTTGTTCTGGATTCTTCCAGAAGGGATGGGAACACAGGTATATTTACCTCAGTTCTGGTTTGTCTTGTTTTACACAGCGTGGATCTGGCAGAACATGTTGTTTTAAACGCCTGTGTGATTGGACCCATCGGTGCTGGAGCTTGTGGGGGGCAGCGCTTAACTCTGGTGGATAAATATGTGTTTATTGGCCCCAATTTGGTGTCTTCAGGCTGTCTTTCAATACAGAAATACCTATATTCTTCATCTTTGTTACAGCAGCCTGACAATGATGGATGAAGCCCAATGAAAATGCTTTAAAAAAAGGTCTCAAGTGAAAAGTATCTCTGCATATAGCTTAGCTGCTAAGCCATTTGTGGCTCTTAACTAAGAAGTCTAATCATTATTCCAAATGGTAATATAAACAGTAGATACTAAATATGAAATATTGTTGCAAAGATGGCTCCAGCTCCCCCGCCCTCTTACCCCCACACGGCCCTGAATGGGGGTAATTGATCAGAAGTGGATGGATGGATGGATGGATGTAGGCCTATATATGGATGGTTTAATTACGTAATTATGACAATGAACCATGTGACCTGATGGACGAAGCCGTTCACTTATGTTCATGCCAAATATTCACTCTCCAGCTACCTCAGGGGTCATACATGCATGGGTATTATGGGTGGCATGAGGCATTAGTTTGCACACATAACAAGGCTGTGGTTACTATTTCCTTATATGAAGTTTCAGCAGGGTTTGTCTCACTGGGAAAAATCGCAGTTCTGAGAAACAGCCTTTTTAAGCTTGAAAGGCATTCCTTCATCTCACAGTGCTTCTCCTTTTCATAGCAAACGGTGCCAAGCCCTTTGCTCCGCCCAGCCCTGGCCCCACCTATCTGCTCCGCTCCTGCCCCAACTTCACCTCTTCATGCCAGGCTCCTTCAACGTGGAACCGTCTACCTGGACTTTACCAACCGTAAGTTAGTCAACACATTCTATAATTGGGGACATGTGACTGCTTAGAAATTTTACCAGTTTCCCTGGTGACGGTGACTAATTGATCGACTGATGTTCTGGATTGATCCAGAGCATCCGAGGTTGATAAATGTACTGCTCTATTCTCCGTCTCCAAGGCTCTGAAGATCTTAAACATATTAATGTAACGCCATCATTTCCTTATTTCTGGCTTTATCCAAAAATAATAAAATCGATTAAAAATAGGTGTTGGCAGTCAACTGAAAGTTTAGCAAACTGGATCGATAGACTGTTATATATGGCCCTCCTGAGAGGTTGGTGTCGTTTGTGTCTGGGTATTGCTCTGACTAACTATGAGGGGCACATTCGTCATTACAGGACATGTGGGCAGTGGTCCCTTTGCTGGTCTTCTTACACAGTCACTGAGAAAGTCTTATAAAAAGAATTGTGTGGGAGGCAGTTGAGGGCATGTACTTGGAATAAAGTCACAACCAATAGCATAACACAGTCCACTAGCTTTCAGTACAGGTTTGTTCTATAGTAAAGATATCTTCTGGGAGGACAGATGAAGTTGGTACAGTGGTTCTCCTCCCCTGTCAGAGAGAGCGGTTACATAGGAAGCCTTGGCTAGAACTTTCTGCTTTCTTTGGCCTGACATGTCGACCTGCCCTGGTCGTCAGGGAGATGGGATTTGCCCTTTTATGGTCAACTAGGGGCGTCGGCCTACTTCTTCTGCTGACAAGGAATCTAAGGCTAGAGAGATGAGGGATCCTGCAGAAGCAGAAGCCCAAGGGGGCATTTGAAATGGAGAACAAAGAATGTTTGCAGTGCGAACTGAAAGTGTGAGTCCTGCAGCACTTTAATTGCTGTCTGGAGCCTAGAGCAAGAGGCCCTTTATGACTCTACCAAAGACACACAGTTGATAGAGATGTGCTAGTTTAGTGTCCCTGTAATTTATACACTAAAGAGAGATCAGTGACAATCCGGGTATGAAATAGTAATGATTTAACTGTACTGTTCTTAAAACTGACACTAGAAGAAAGGCAGAATCATCCGGAATCACCCAGCTCCTACCGATCTTATGTAATAGTATTTGCCGTGCTGTACGTATGTCAGTCCATTGCAATAAATAAAGAGAAGTGCCATTGCTTTATTCCTCAGCTGATTTGCACATTTATACAGGTTTCGGTCTCGTATGTTCAAAGCCGTCTTACAGAATGTGCCCCTTGCAGAAGTTTGAAATTCACTACAGACTCGGCCTTTCTTTGCATTTCTCCTGATGTTTGAGATGGAAAAAAACATTGTTTGAGTCCATTCATTAGCTATTGGTAATTTTCATGCTTTACCCAGTTAGCGAGTGGCAAACCTTTGCACTTAACATGGCTTTGATGTCAAGCGTATAGTCATGTGAGTGGGAATGGGGATGTGTGTTGATGTTCTTGGTTGGTTTGTCTGGGGTATAGTGGAGGGGTTGTGTTTCTGTATTTTAACACACTCTCTTAGAAAACACCACTGATTTCTGCACATTCTAGCTTCTTTGTTCTCAGCCAGCCTATGACAATGCTCTTATAAAAAGCATTGATACATCGAAACCATGCTAATATGTCAGCCATAGAAGAGATTTGTTAATTCAGATGTACCAGCACAAGAATAATGAAGAGGAACCACCTTTAGCTTTAGTTTTAGTCTGCTGAATATCTATAACAAAACCTTAGATTTACTGTATTTAAAAGAACAACATGGTACAGGAAGATTTTATATCCTTAAAACTTAAAGCCTTGTCAACTTCATTGTACTGTGGTTTGTTGCTGTAACGCACTTTTAATAAAATTGTTGATGTAACACTCGTTTCATGATAATGGCATTGCTGATCACCATAATGGGCCGTATTAATCCACAGTGATAGCCGATGTAGTGCTCAAGCCTCACAGAAATGAACGTATCTGTTCTGGCTGAAGCCCCAAGGCTGAAAAGGGCTAGATGGAATGAATCGATCCCTGACAAGTTTCTGTTGTCCTTGTACCTCCAGAAAACCCTGCAGAGGTTTTGCATCTTCTTATCGATCGTTATCAAATACCTCTCGTTTCTGAAGGCTAATTTATACTTCAGTTTTCCATGTGCGTTTTCAAATGCGAGAAGTGTAATGAAAGGGGTTATTAGTCTAGGGTTGGACGGTACTGCTGTAATACAGCATATTGTGGTATGTTGGAATCCTTATGAGAAAATTAACCAGGGCTTCCCTTTTTACTTAGCAAGTTTTATTGCCAAGATTTCAAAATGCCGGAATAGTGCTGCTTTTTAAAGTACTGTGTACCTCGGAATAATGTTTGGACAGATCGAAAAGTTAGATGGCTGGGTGTCTCCGACTCGCTCATACAGCTGTTCAGCAGGACTACTACAGCAACAACAACTATTCGCCCTCTACTCTTCATCTGCTCTCCGCTGATCTGTGAAAGTCCACACTGCCACCTACTGGGAATAGCTAATCCATTCATTTGCACATGCGCAGTCAACGTGCACAGATGCGAGAGGTTTCCGCTAGACATATAAATCTGGGCTCCCCGCACACCGACCCGGTCATCCGCAGCCAACCCCCCCATGACCAAATCTGCATCACTCCCCCCTGTCTGCAATGGGAAGCAGATGCAGAAAAGTGAAGGATGGACTTGAGAGTAACAGGACTTTTCCGCAGGGTTTGGCATCGGGGAATAAAGTTCAGACAAACATTCTCAAAGCAGGAATAGTCAAACCGCTCACTAACATATTGCACATTTTTTGTACCTCCTAGTCTCTTAAATCACTTGGGATGAGGCTTTCGTCATCGAGCATTAAGAATTATGGGATGTATGGATCATCAGCATAGGCCACAAACCGCATTTTGCTGCCCTACACTGTGTCTTGCTGCAGTTGGTGTCACAGGACAGTCACCGTGGCCACCTGACCAGTAAGGATTATCCCTGCTTCCTGTTGTTGTTGAATCTCATGCAGGTTTTATGTGTATGTTTACACACTGAGACGCTGGGCAGTGTCCACTATCCTTGGTGGAGAAATGTGACGTGGTCACCAGTGCAGTACAGCACAGTGACAGTGTCCGTAAGCCAGGGGGAGCTGGGATGTCACGGGGCAGGTGACGTGGTCACCAGTGCAGTACAGCACAGTGACAGTGACAGTGTCCGTAAGCCAGGGGGAGCTGGGATGTCACGGGGCAGGTGACTGCGCACCTCTCTCTCATTCCCAATCAGGGTATAACAATGAGCTTTGTGGCCAGACCCTGATTCCTGACCTCAGGGACTGCAGAAGGAATCGGAAAATGGGGGGGGGGGGGTAAAGTCTTGTCCACTTATCTGTTTGATTTTGAAAAATTAAAATGTAACCTTTCAAGAAATGTGCAGATATAATTCATGCGTTTATGAATGAATGACTTTTTATTGGTTTGCATTAAGTTGTTTGTAGGTTGATTGTTCATCACTGCATTCTTATTGATGCACGGGCCTGAGTGACGTCCCCAGTTCCGGGCCCGTGCCTGACCCAGCACCTACCTGCACCTTCCATCACCCCCATTCCTCAGTCCTCTGTTCTATTTTGTGTTTGCGCCCCCCCCCCCCTCGCCCCTCCAGATGCATCATCTCTCTCCTTCCAGTTTCTGCTCCTGAGCCTTCCTTTTCTCCCCATGCCACACGGCCTCAGCCTCCTGACCACATCCGTACGCTTACAGGGGTGTCTTGTGTAAAAAAAAGTATAAGTTTGCACCATGAATGGAGAGGAGCAGGACGGCAAGGCCATAAGCTGACATCTTTTCTCTTCTACTCTATCCAAGAGCTTTCAAAAGGTGCTTTATAGTCCAGTTTCATTCAGATAGACTCCTACATCAACACTCGGTTTCCTGAATAATATTTTGCTTGTATTGAATTCCTTCTGCGGTGCTGCTCCGGATTACCATGGCAACCGTGGCATTTACTTGCTCTTCCATGAACCATCATCCTCTTACGTTTAACATTGGATTTCAGTTGGTTCTGAATAAAAGGTATTATGACCCTGACCAGAACAAGCGGTTGTCTAGAAGATGGATGGATGAATGGATGGATGGATGGGTAGTGTACAATTACCTTACACAAAGCAATTTGCAAGATATTTACAATATAAATAGATATTTCATTCTGTTGGGTTTGTACAGTGGTATAATTCCATTTCTTGGCATAAGTATTGTGTGTTAAGATGCATCATCCAGTGACCGTAGCCACTTATCCAGATAGACGTCCAGAACCTGGAGTCTGTTCCAGGAGCGGCAGGGACAGCCAGTCGCTCTGGGCAGCCCCTCACACATAATCACATACTCTGCACAATCCAAAGGCATCATTTCACCAAACATGTTTTTGGTCTGTGAGATGAAAGCAGAGTGACTGAAGGAAAACTATGCAAACGCAGGAAGAAAATGCTAACTGCACATGCAGAGGACGGGAGCAGACATCAGATCCCCTGAGCAGCGGATGTCAGACAGTGCAGTGCTGCCCATCATTCCATGCTGTTAGACAACAGCAACAACCATAATGGTAATAATAGCCAGTAGTGTGGTGGCTCTTCAGTGAGCTTTGTGGCTTCTGACCTGACAGGGTCACATGGTCTACCCCAGGACATAATCTTCACCCTACATGCATGCAGTTACGCTAATTGGCAAGTCTACATTACCAGTGACAGACTATGACTGACCATTTAGTCCATCAGATTTATACTCAGATCATCTGAGAACCTTCTGCATGTGTCTTCTATTGATCCTTCTCCTCCACCTCATGGCTACCATCCCACCTCCTTTGTGTGCTTCTCCAAATACCCCCCCCCCCATCCTTCTCTCATCCTTTTGACTTGACATCCAAGACTCAAATACATGCAGGATGTGACATCATCATCTGACAAATAAAAAAAATCGGATTCAGGGCTTTGTTCAGAAAATTACTAGGAATTAATTTTTAAGTTTGAATGAACACAAGAAGATCCATCCATCCA